AAAACTGACACCTAGTACAGGAATCTTCTCCCCCGTACTTCTGTCACAAGGGGGAAGCGGGTGGTGGCTGCACGATTGGGAACATGTTACATCTTTCACCTAAAAAAGGCTGGAACATATAACATGTTCCCAAAGGTGAATTTATCCTTTCAAAATGATTGGAGGATCCAAAAATATCCACATCTAAATGCCCCTTTTTACTTCTTTTTTAGTACTTTTATTTAATACGTACCGTGCTATGGGAAAGAACTATGGATACTCTTCAATGTAGCTGCAAACACACCACCTTTATCTCCACTAACCAGGGACATAAATGCAAGGAAAAAAATGTATATTAGGTGTGGCGCTACAATACACCTCCCCCGTAAACCAATATACATGGAAATAAATGCTAGTAAAAATGTTAAATATGCAACCTTATTGCTCCCAATGGATCAGAATGGTGCAAATGAATGTGCGCATGAAAGGGTTAAAGATTGGTAATTAACATACAGAAAGGTATATATAGCGATGAGTGGAGTAAGATGGTGTCACTCCTGATGATGGAACACACTGGGCGGAGCTTTTTATGTCCATTCCGGTACCTTATTTCTGGTCCGTGGACCGCAGGAGCATCCCGGACACGTTTAAGCTCACTTGCTTGTGTATCTTTACATGCCATATGTTGTTATAAGTGCTTTGTTTGTTTTTGTGTGGTTTTATGCAAGAAGTATTATTATTATTATTATTATACAGGATTTATATAGTGCCAACAGTTTGCTCAGCACTTTACAATATGAATGGGAGACAATACAGCAACAATACAGTTCAATACAAGAGGGATAGGAGGGCCCTGCTCCTTGGAGCTTACAATCTAGGAGAACTTTCAAAATTGGAGCATCTCTGACAGAGTCCAAATCGCACCGATATGACTGCTTCTATTGAGGACAATAGAGTGCGACTTGTCCTTATTAACCTCCCTGGTGGTATTATTATTTTAGCTTTTTCGTGCTGAAAGCGGTACCATTATTTTGCATGGAAATTTGGCGTTTTATATTGTAGGCCTGTAATTCTTAGGAATAACTCACTGAAATCTGTCTGAACAAGAGTCTAGTAAACATCCCGGATATGATAAAACTTGAAACACAAAATCATAAATTATAATTTAAAAAATAATAATATAATAATACATTTAATTCAATAATATAAACCAAACCAAAAAAACACTGAAATTTGAAATATAGCGCCAAGTTCGCACATCGCTGAGCAAAGTCGCAAAATCGTTTTCAGTGTCTGATGACGAATTTCCCCACGAATCATCACTCAATTCTGCAAGTGGTTCTAATTTACTATCGGTGTTCTCTAGCTGATCTAAAACTGCTTTTGACCTAAAGGGACGCATTTTGGACGCCATGGCCATTTCTCAGTTTCCAGGCAGAAAGAACAGTCAAAATGCAGGCAGGGCACAGGACAAAGCAGTAGGGACAAAATGTATGTGAAATGGTTTGATACAGTAATGTTATACTATGTGATTTTAGTGAATGTCGCTTTCAAATTTCCCGCCGTTCCGTCCCCCGTACATCCCGACGCTCGCAGGGGACAGAACCCAGATGACAGATGCCGGCATACGCCGGATTACATTGCCGGGGACACTGCAGGAGGGGACATCGCGGGAGCGCAGGACAAGGTAAGTGATCGAGGGATCCGCGGAGCAGCGCCGCATGGTAAGCCCGAGTGTAGCTCAGGGTTACCGCTTTTGGTACTGAAACTTTACCCCGAGCTACACTCGGGAATACCGCCAGGGAGGTTAAGGAGCAGTAATGTTGCACATTTAACATTTGTTCATATTATTTGTACTTGTATCTGTTCACATGTATAATAGGTTTATGAGGGAGGTGTATTGCAGCGCCACACCTATTATACATTTTTTTTTTTTACCCCCCCCTTTTTTTACTTGACTGAAGCCACAGTCATGTGACAATGCAGCCCAAGTCTTCTCCTCTTCTCTTTACTTTCTGCTTGGGTCCTTCTTTTTGTGTCCCCCACACCTGGAAATGATGACAGCGAGGGACTTGGAGGGGGGACCTAGGTGAGTATGTTTGGCTTCATAAGGTAAGTAGGGGAAAGTCTATGATTCTGACATTATTTTACAGCTATATTGGCTTTTTTCCATTTAGATTTTTGATTGTGTCTGTTTTACAGATCTAGGAGAGGACCTGCTATCCCCCACCTGTCTGTCATGGTTCACATTCAGGGAGTGGGGTGTACGCCTTTCTCTCACAGTGACTCTTCTAAGACTACAGAAGGTGCACAGTGTCCGGTCGGCAGGGCTCATGTGATATGTATGGTTTCAGACTTCTTTTATCCCAACATGGGCGGCGTAGAGAGTCACATTTATCAGCTTTCGCAATGTCTGATCGAGAGGGACACAAGGTCATCGTTGTCACTCATGCCTATGGGGATCGGAAAGGGATCCGCTACCTTACCAATGGCCTGAAAGTCTATTACTTACCTCTGAGGGTTATGTATAACCAGTCTACAGCCACCACCCTGCTGCATAGTCTACCCCTACTCAGGTATATCTTTGTAAGGGAAAGGGTTAGCATTGTTCATTCCCACAGCTCTTTTTCTGCCATGGCCCACGATGCTCTGTTCCACGCAAAGACAATGGGGCTTCATACAGTTTTCACGGACCATTCGCTGTTTGGATTTGCTGATGTCAGCTCCGTGCTCACCAACAAACTTCTGACAGTGTCCCTGTGTGATACAAACCACATCATCTGTGTCTCCTACACCAGCAAAGAGAACACTGTGCTCCGAGCCGCCCTGAACCCCGAGATCGTCTCTGTCATCCCCAACGCTGTGGACCCCACCGATTTTACTCCAGATCCCCAGAAAAACAGGACTAGTAAGATTACCATTGTGGTGGTCAGTAGACTTGTGTACAGAAAAGGTAAGGAAATTCTTTATTCTCATGATCGTCAATTTTATTTATTTTTTTAACCCCCTGAAAGTGGGCCTGTAAAAAGCCCAGCACTTTACTATTTCACAGTTCACTGCAGCCTGACGCTACACATTGGATTGTGTGATATATGTAATAGAAGGAGAATCATGTGACCAGAGGCTGCCGTCCAGCTCAGAAGCAGCAAGAAGAGTTTTCTGAATATTGCTGCATAGGATTATTTATAAATCAAACATGCAAGTTAAGGTGAAATTTAGACTTTAAAACTGTCTCTATGCCTCTTCAAGCTGGGTTTGAAGCAGATATAAAAGACACAAATAATGCAGCTCTGTTTTCATAAATAGTTTATTAAAGTAGTGTTAAAGTCAAAATGTTGTTGGTTTTTTTTTTTTTACCCTAATGCATTCTCTGCATTAAAGTGGTTCTAAAGGCCAAAGGGTTTTTTTTTTACCTTCATGCATCTTCTGCATTAAGATAAAAACCTTCAGTGTGCAGCTCCCCTCTCAGTCCCCCCCCCCCCCCCACCTCCCCAGTATTTACCTGAGCCCAATCTTAATCCAGCACTGGGCATGGGAGCAGTAACTCTCCCACGTCTTTCTCTCCTCATTGGCTGAGACACAGCCATGTACTGTACTACTGTACTTCTGTACTACAGCTGGAATACAAGTCTCTGTATTGGCTGTCAGGGCCAATGGCAGACTGCCAGCTGATTAAATAAAAGTAAGTGATTTAATAAACAATCCAGCAGCCAGAGATGGGGCACACTTACCGTATGTAGAGGTAATTTGATTTTACTGGGCATAGCGCAGCTTCAAAGTCAGCCTCTTGTAATCCCCCATAAGGCAACACTCCAATTGGTAGAGGGCAGGACAGGACTGGGAAACAATTCAGTTGTGCTGCATGCCAGTGTGCACACAAGGAGCACACTGAAACCACCTCATCTGTCTTCTGCTGCTCTTTCACTGTCCATTCAGAAGGCTGGGTGTGGAGAGAGGACATATTCAGTGAAGGTAGGAAATCACCAACAAGGACATGTAAAGAGGTTATTGCCTGAGGTTCTGCTTTAAATTTTTTTGCACGTAAAATCTGCTCTATAGCTGCCCAGATCACTTTTACATAAAGAAGATGATACCAAGCTTGTTTTAACCCCTTGTATACCAGGATGTTTATAAATGTACAGTACCTTGGTAGACAAGTGGTGAGACCAGCACATCAATGACCTGATCCAGGATACAATGTTCCAGTGCAAAGCTTGGGTTTATCAGCACTGAGCAAACCCATTGGCGCTATATAAATACTGTATAATAATAATAAATAATCGAGTGCAGAAAGTATCTTCTTTAATTTTGGAGACTCTTTTCACAAAGACACCTGTGGTGGCAGTAAAAACAGGCAGCTGAGCTGAAGTTCTACCGCCCTCTGGCCACCCATCCAAATGCTAACATTACAGCCTGACAGGGCTGTACATGTGCCGTGGCCGCAGCTTTTTTTAATGTGGAATGCAGAGTTTGGTATGCGATTCCACCTGTCAAACTTTTCAGTTGAGTTCAATGGGAATGCTCTGCAGCCTTGAGCCAAATGCAACTTTCTACTACAAAATCCCCTTTTGGGATAGGGGGGAAATAAAATCCGTTATTCAGGAGGCAGTAGGATTGCCGCCTGAACACCTGACAACCACTACTATGCTACCCTCTGAAAATCACTCCATTGCAGATCACTTTTCAGAGAACAATAAGCATTGCCGTCTGTGTGAAAGAAGACTTAGTATCTATCTTATTTGATAAACTGCCTGCAAAATGCTGATCTGGTCCTTTTTCTCATGAAGAAACAGCATTCGATCTTGGCTGTACAGAGGCTGTATTCCTCCTTGTTGTTCTCATGGAGCCATCTTTCACCAGTAAAGTCAATTTACTGATGATGACCAATTGGATTTCAGTTTTCTGGTCACAATGAAAAATAATCAGTCCTGATTGGCACCTATGGATTGTAGCACATGGCTCTCTGACAATGCTATACATCCAGTCAGTGTGATTTTATAATCTTTATGTTTTGTTTTCCAGGAATAGACTTGCTGGGCGGTATAATCCCAGAAATGTGCCTCAGATACCCAGACCTGCACTTTCTCATTGGAGGTGAGGGGCCCAAGAGAATCATTTTAGAGGAGGTACGAGAAAGATACCAGCTTCATGACAGGTACAACAAAAATGTGTTGGAATTCCTCTGGAAATAAGGAGGTTTAAGTATTTGTATGCTTTGTGTGTATTTTTGCCACTTTTTTTTGCGGTTTTTTTTTTTTTTTGTTTGTTTTTTTTTGCCAATAGGAAAATATTGACTTTGATGTGACTTTGGATGTTACGTTTGAAGATTGTGACTTGGATGCTACTTTTGGTGCGATTTTGGATGGGTGTGCCTTTGATGTGCCTTTTGGATGCGTATGACTTGGATGCGACTTTCATGCTACTTGAGTGCCAGGGAGTATAAAGTCACATCATCCCTGGTTCACACCGTTTCCGACTTTGAAATCACGCGACTTCACTTGAAGTTAGTGCGACTTGGCAGACATCTGTGCAACTTCATGCACAGATGTCTATGAAAGTCACACCTGAAATCCCAAAAAGTAGTGCAGGAACTACTTTCAAAATCGATTTGAATGGTTCCATTGTGGATAATAGGGTGCAACTTGTCATACAATTTGAAACTGTCAAATCACATAACAAGTCACATTGGTGTGAACCAGGGCTCATGAACAAAATTCTCTTACTTTACTATTAGTGAAAAAAAACATCGCACCAATGTTGCATCAAAGTCGTACCCATCAAAAGTCACTTCAAAGTCGCATCAAAGTCAATACTTTCTTATTGGCAAAAAATAAAATCAAAAAGTGCACTAAATGTGTTTCTGCTGTCTTTTGAAGTCTATTGAATGCAGCAGCTGAAAAACGCATCGATGTGAAGGTGGCCCATAGGAAACTATGTTAAATGGACTGTAGTACTTTTTTGCAAAAATCACCAAAAAAGGCAACCAGGCCTTAATAGAGGGTTTTCTGTGAATCCAGCTTGTGTCCACTGGGTACATTAGAAGGCCCTGTGGCCCCTGAGTGTGCCTACTTGGCTTTTGTAATTTCATTACGTTTATGCTTTAGGTATGTTCAGCCGCACACTAAAACAATTCATTTTACCATCTATCTGGTGTCCACTGTGTAACCGCAGCGGTGAGTGGTGTCTTGCATTCTAAAAATATAAAAAGCAAGAAACCGCTTGTGAACGCTGCTACACATTGGACACCAGCCACAGCAGTGTTTACTCTACTTTTTTTTTCTCCTAAACTTTATTAAAAGTATATAAACACTCTGTTCATGTATCCGCACAGCAATGTGGTGACATGTCTGCACATGGTTGTAGTGTGAACGGGGCACATAGAAAACATTGGGGGTCAGTGCACTATGTGTGAATAGGCCCATAATCTCTGAAGGTCAGTGATGAAGATAACCTTTGTGAATGGTAGTAGGATGAGGGCAGTGTACTGCTTGTCTTCAGTGAACCAACAATACTGAATGACAGAGGCAACAGGACAGCTTTCAGATTCAAGGAATCTTTACAAGAATGCAGCAGGAGAAAATAATGGGAACAGGAAATGAGTAGGTGTAAACGTTTTTTTTTTAAATCTTTCTTTCTTTCTTTCTTTCTTTCTTCTTTCTTTCTTTTCTTTCTTTCTTTCTTTCTTTCTTTCTTTCTTTTTCTTTTTTCTTTCTTTTTTCTTTCTTTCTTTCTTTCTTTCTTTCTTTCTTTCTTTCTTTCTTTCCAAAACTGCAAGAACAACATAAAGTATAGTATACAACAGGAAAAAGGCACATAAGTAATAATCATCTTAATAAAGTACAATCATGTAAGAAGTAAAGGTCAAGTACACGAACAAGGTAGGCAGGAAGATGTGCAGAGTAATAAAACTACCAACAAAGGAACAAGATCAAGCAAACTATGATAATCCATCAGTCAAACAATAGATGCCGATGAGTTTTCCAACCATCCCACTTTGGCTACGTTCACACTAGCGTTGTCAGCAGGCGGCAGACAGGCGTTTGGGAAACGTTTTTACTGCTTTCCAAATGCCTCTGAAAATTCTGCACATTGCAGCACATAGTGCTGTTCACGCGGAAGCGTCGCGTCAAAACGGACGCCTCTGGTCCAGTCAGGAGGAGTTGAAGCCTCCTATTCAAGTCTATGGTGCCGCTCTGCATACGCCTGGCTGGCGTTTGCGGTGCTGTTGCGAGGCGATTGCGGAGCGTTAACACCATTCAAACTTCATTATAAGCGTTTGTGGGGCGTTTTTAGCGCTTAGCAAACGCCTACCAACCGTCGCAAAACCGCGCATATGGTGTTTTTGGAGCATTTGCGGAGCGTTAAAAACGCTTGTGAACCGCTATTGGGACATTTGGCAAGAGTTGGAAAAAATGTCAAGTGTGAACGAGCCCTTTCTGTCTAATAAGTGCATCCTATCCAGCAACGTGTCATGAACGTGTTCCACAAGCATTCCCCTTTTTTAAATTCTAAATAACTAGATTTAAATTGGTGTGTTACAGCCTTTAGCCCACTCTTCCTTATTATCCAGAGAAAATGAGGAAACCTTCCATATAAAGTTGTCAGATTTCTGCAGCCTTTTGGCTTCTTTCCAGTACAGAGCTCTGACAGATGGAGAGATCCTGGAATTGTTTCATGTGTTTTTCCTCTGCTTTGATATTTTTAAAGAGGACATGCCACCTTACATTTGAATATTAATGTAAAATATTGTAAGCTCCAAGGAGCAGGGCTCTCCTATCCCTCTTGTATTGAACTGTATTGTTGCTGTGTTGTCTCCCTTTATGTTGTAAAGTGCTGAGCAAACTTTTGGCTCTATATAAATCCTGTATAATAATAATATAAGAAAAAAGCATTCAAGTTGTGGCGTAAGAATCATACACACCCTGTATATGACTTCTAGGGACTGGTTAAGTTACTTTTTTACTGAAAGGCGAAGCATGCCTATATATTGCGCAAATATGCTCACTGCTAGTGTATTCTTTTAAACACTTCAGCTTCGAAAGATTTTACTCCCTTCATGACCAGGCCATTTTTTGCTCTTCGGCACTGCGTTGATTTAACGGGTAACTGCGTGGTCATGCAATGCTGTACCCAAGCAAAATTTATATAGTTTTTTTTTTTCACACAAATAAAGCAGTGGTATTTGATCACCACTGGGCTTTTATTTTTTTATTATATAAATGATATATAAATTTTTTGGAGGGGGGAATGTATTTTTTACTTCTATATAAAACTAAATCAAATTTCTTCATAAATTTAGGTCAAAATGTCTTTAGTAAAACAAAATCCCAATAAGTGTTTGTTGATTGGTTTGCATGAAGGTTATATTGCCTACAAACTATGGTATATATAAATGGAATTTTTTTTTATACTGCTAATGGCAGTGATTAGCAACTTATTGTGGGACTGTGCGGCGGGCAATCTGAGACTAACTAACAATGGGTGGGGAACAGGGTCCAAAGGACAGGTGTGGTAAGACGGGCTTCAGCGATCTTTAATAGTGGGATGTTCCTGATGTCATTTCGCCCAGAGTAGGCTCCTTAGACCAGGAGCAGTCCACCGTTGGACTGTGGGGGAGGATTGTATTCCGAAGGATTGGGTGAATTATAAGCTTTCTGGTAACCTACAGTTGTGTCCAAAATTATTCAACCCCCAATGCTGTAAAGGGGTTTAGGGACTATAGTGTACATTTGGAATTGTATTCAGAATCAAATCCTACAAGGACGTTGTAAAAACTTTTTAAATGCTACCCAAAAAATGCAACTAAAATGACATCAATTTTTATGTAATACAGTAGTAAATGGTTCTTATGTGGTTTCTTCATTGCCACAATTATTCAACCCCTTAAAGACTACCACTCTGAAGAACAGAGGTTCATACAGGTGCTTTCCATCAGGTATTGAAAACACCTGTGGGATGTCACCGAGCAGCAATCAAGCATAATAAGCACCAATTAGGCAGCTTTAAAATGACTGTGATACTCAGCTCCTTCTAGACATTTACTGGTGTGGTTACAAACATGGTGAAGGCAAGAGAATGGTCCAGGAAGACAAGAGAAGAGGTGATTTCTCTTCACAGGAAGGGCAATGGCTATAAGAAGATTGCAAAGATGTTAAACATACCAAGAGACACCTTAGGAAGCATCATTCGCAAATTCAAGGCAAAGGGCACTGTTGAAACGCTACCTGGTCGTGGCAGAAAGAAGATTGACTTCGACTGCTGTGCGCTACCTGAAGCGTAGAGTGGAGAGAAGTCCCCGTGTGACTGCTGAGGAACTGAGAAAAGATTTGTCAGATGTGGGTACAGAAGTTTCAGCCCAGACAATAAGACGCACACTGCGTAATGAAGGCCTCCGTGCCAGAACTCCCAGGCGTACCCCCTTGCTGTCTCCAAAGAATAAGAAGAGTCGACTGCAGTATGCCAAAAGCCATGTGGACAAACCACAAAAGTTGTGGGATAGTGTTCTGTGGACTGATGAAACAAAATTAGAACTGTTTGGGCCCATGGATCAACGCTATGTTTGGAGGAGGAAGAACAAGGCCTATGATGAAAAGAACACCTTGCCTACTGTGAAGCATGGTGGAGGGTCAATCATGCTTTGGGGCTGTTTTGCTTCTGCAGGTACAGGGAAGCTTCAGCGTGTGCAAGGTACCATGAATTCTCTTCAGTACAGGAGATATTGGATGGAAACGTGATGCAGTCCGTCACACACCTGAGGCTTGGGAGACGTTGGACCTTTCAACAGGACAATGATCCCAAGCATACCTCCAAGTCCACTAGAGCATGGTTTGCAGAGGAAAGGCTGGAACATTTTGGAGTGGCCATCGCAGTCACCAGACTTAAATCCGATTGAGAACCTCTGGTGGGACTTAAAGAAAGCAGTTGCAGTGCGCAAGCCTAAGAATGTGTGACTGAACTGGAGGCCTTTGCCCATGAAGAATGGGCGAAGATACCCGTAGATCGCTGCAAGACACTTGTGTCAAGCTATGCTTCACGTTTAAAAGCTGTTATAACTGTAAAAGGATGCTGTACTAAGTACTAAGATTGAATGTCACTTGGGGGTTGAATAAAACTGATAATGCTGTGAGCACAGAAAAGACATTTGTGGTTATTTCATTATAACTGTTTATGTTATATTTGTCTGACCTACAAGTGCCTCTTTAATGTAAATGTAAGCAAGATTGAATGATCAAAAGCAATGTCAAACTGCCCAAAACACTCAATTTCAGTGGGGGTTGAATAATTTTGGACACAACTGTATATACAAAAAGAGCAGTTGACCCGTGCAGTGCTGGCAAAGCCCCACTGAATGGATAAAAAATATGTTTGCCTGGAGATGGGTTTTAACATACCTTGTCTACAACCACATTCAATACTTTCCTCTTTTGACCTTGTTAGTACGGAAGAGGTCATCGAACCTTTCTCAGAAGCCTCGTGATAATACTATACACTTTCACTGTACTAATGACACTGGCTGGGAAGGGGTTAACATCTCAGGTAATCAAGGGGTTAACTGTGTGCCTAACAAGTGTTCATTTGTTTAATGTGTGCTGCTTTTTACCTGATTTGCTGGGAGAAGAGACAAGAAAATCATTCCCTCTTTACAGAGCCTTGTGTTGATTGTCAAAATGGCTCTGGGCTGTGACTGGACACAGCCGATCAGCAGCAGTCCAGGCCATGAATCATTGGTCGGGACCTGTTGACATGAGTATGATTAGACACGACGGGAGCCAGCTGGCGAGGGTGCCCATTAGCCGGAAGAGGCCAGTGATTTACAGGTACACCGCTGTACCAATATGGGCGCCCCCGTCCACAGTACATTGCAAGTGGGTGGTCCTTAAATGATTAAAGGAAAAGTCCAGTTGACTTGTTTATCAATGTTAAAGCATTGTTTACTTTAATTTTGGTGTTAAATGAGGTGATGTGGATTAACCATTAGCATTTCCTCCTTTCTTAAATTTATAATGCTTTTGTACATATATATTATACTAGTCTGGAGATTAAGAAAGATATAAAAATGTATTTTTTTGCAAGTAAACATAAATTTTGGGAATATTAAAGAGGAACTTCATCCATTCCAACAAAGAACTGTTAATGTGCCACTTATGCCTGGTCTTCTTTCTGTGATGCTTGTATGCATACATGCCCAGTGGATCCAGCATTGTCCTCTTCTCCCATACTGCTCTCCTCCTACAGGTCCCATCCCACATTGCCATCTTCCTCTTGTGTGTCATCAGGAGGCCAGCTGTCTCTTCTGGGTTTTTTCATCCAGCCTCCTGAGGATACCCCCTTTGCTTATGTTCTAGATCAGTGGTTTCCAAACTGCGGCCTGGGGGCCAGATGCAGCCCTTTGATTGCCTTTATCCGGCCCTTGGAGTCCTATTTCATCCACTGACACCAACAATGGGGCACATTTCCTCGTACTGACACCAACGATAGGGCACTATTCCTTCCATGGACACCGATGGGGCACTATTCCGTCCATGGACACCAACGATGGGGCACTATTCATTCCATGGACACCAACGATGGGGCACTATTCCTTCCATGGACACCAACGTTGGGGCACTATTCCTTCCATGGACACCAACGATGTGGCACTATTCCTTCCATGGACACCAACGATGGGGCACTATTCCTTCCATGGACACCAACGATGGGGCACTATTCCCTTCCATGGACACCAACGATGGGGCACTATTCCTTCCATGGACACCAACGATGGGGCACTATTCCTTCCATGGACACCAACGATGGGGCACTATTCCTTCCATGGACACCAACGATGGGGCACTATTCCTTCCATGGACACCAACGATGGGGCACTATTCCTTCCATGGACACCAACGATGGGGCACTATTCCTTCCATGGACACCAACGATGGGGCACTATTCCTTCCATGGACACCAACGATGGGGCACTATTCCTTCCATGGACACCAACGATGGGGCACTATTCCTCCTATTGATATCAGTGATGGGGCACTATATCTCCCAATGAAACCAACAATGGGGACTATTCCTCCTATTGATATCAGTGATGGGGCACTATTCCTCCTAATGACACCAACAATGGGGAACTATTCCTCCTATTGATATCAGTGATGGAGCACTATTCCTCCCACTGACACCAATGAACTGGCCCTTTGTTTTGCAAAGTTTGGGAGACCCTGTTCTAGATTGCCAGAAAGTCTCCTAGGATCCCAGGAGGTTGCAGGCAGTTGGGGCTACATCACTCTCAACTGAGAGAGAAAGGCAGATGGCAGTATTAGATAAACTTGAAAAAGAGGAGCATAATTCCTTCCAGTTGAATACTTGAATTTAGTCTTCAATCCATTCAGCAGGTGAAAGCTAGACCTTTTGTCACACATGAAGCGTATCCTTGAATGAAGCCTGCATATATGGAACTCCTTGGGGTAGATTTTCTAAACCTGGAGCACTCAGAATCTAGTACAGCTCTGCATGGCAGCCAGTCAGCTGTTAACGTCAGCTTGTTCAATTAAGCTTTAGCAACCTGGAAGCTGATTGGTTTCTGTGCAGAGCTGCACCAGAATTTGCACTCTCCAATTTTAGTAAATAAGCCCCATTGAGTCATCACAACAGCGATTCTTCCCTGCTCAATATTTTCCCATTACATAGTTCAATTATATACCAGGAAAAAAAACGTTTCCTCATGCAAGTACAGAAAACTATTGTAGTTGATGTGCTGGAAATGCAATTGGCTCTGGGTTTTCAGTTTCTGTCTGACAATGTAGTACCTTTGCTACACTGAAATTGGCAGCAATGGTGCCAGCCCTACCCAGTTTTGTTTTGTTGAACTACTGAAATCCTGTTTCCATCTCTACAATTTTTACAACAATTGGTAAGGTGTTCTATAGTCCAAGGAAGAACTGAAATAGCTAATTGGACTGCGTGAGATAACACAGGAAGTGTGCACAGGACATGTAATAGCTCTGGATTTCTGACAGGATCAATGGTGAAAGGGGGGCTGGGGGGGGGGGGGGGAGATTTACATACACTTGGGTCTGAGGTGTACATTTTTTCTAACCCATCCACCAACAAAGACATGTAATCACTTGTCACTGCTGACGTACAGTAGTTTGAAAACCAAGCCATGTGGGGGTTTTTTTTTTCCCATAGCAGTCCATATGGTGGAATTTGAAGCCAGTTTTGATGAAATTTTCAGTGAAGGTGAATTATTTCACTGTGAAATCACTCAGCTCATCCCTAGTTGGGGTTTAGTATAATGGGCAGGTGGGGTGAACAATTGCTGATACGTGACTGAAGGCTAATATTTTCCACTTCTTTTTAGCATTCTCTAGACTAAATTTTAAAAAATCATCAGAATGCAGTGGGTACTTGGGAACTGTGTAATGTTTTGTCGTTTACTTTTAGCTTGCAGTTGGTAAATGATACACTAAAAATAAAATGCAATAAAAGTAATTTTGCAATGTGATTTCAGAGTTCGGCTGTTGGGCGCTCTGGAGCACCGCCAGGTACGGAATGTCTTAGTGGAAGGTGACATATTCCTCAACACATCTCTTACTGAAGCTTTCTGCATGGCAATTGTTGAAGCTGCTAGCTGTGGCTTGCAGGTAGCTGTCTATGATCTATATTAATTATTGTGTCAATGATAGAAAAGGCAGAACACAAAATGTAAAAGGCACTGTCACCTTGCTCATTCAGTGCAAAGTAACAATGTCTGTGTAAAGGCCCCCCCAACCTGCTGATACTCAGTCACCTTGTCAGCTCTTCACTCCTTTGGTCGCAGCCGACGCCGAAATTCCCTGTGTCTGCTAGTGTCAGACAGTGGGGAAACGGCAACTCCATACCTCCATCACGTGACAGTACTTGGGACTAACTAGGCCTTAGAAGTGTCACTTAACCTTCTTTTCTATCTTGGTGACTTTAACATTGCAATTAATATTAACAGTCTGGCTACATCTCAACTTAACTTTATCTTTTGGCCTCAACACATTTACTCTGATGGTAGCACCCTTGACCTTGTATTCTCCAATCTCTACACTACTTGAAACCATCCTCAACACAACCTTTCCTCTGATCACAAACTCATCACTTTCACAGTGTCCTTGTCTTTAGCCACCAACACCCAAGCAGCAGTTACCCATAGAACCATGCTACCTACCACCTCCATGATAAAATCTCACCCCTCACCTGGCCACGTCTGTCTACAACAACAACTCTCACCCTCACTGAACGCACTTGTTCCTCTCACTACACACAGAATCGGGCCCCAACCATTACAACCTTGGCAGACTGATGACACAAGAAATCTCAAGAGACATAGCCATGTAATGGAGCAATGGTGGTGTAAAATCAAATCTCTGCAAGCCTTTACCCTACATAAATCTACTTTCCTAAAATACAATTGCTGCCAAACAAACCTATTATGTCACTCTCCTTAATACCCTGTTATCCAGTCCTCGTTGGCCTTTCTCTGCCTTTAACTTCCTACTTTATTCCCCAAAACTTGCACCCAGTAAAGCATTCACTGTTCAGGACATTGCCAATCACTTCATAAACACGATTGATGCAATCTGTGGGGATATCTCCACTGCACAGATATCTACCCCACTTAAAGCCCATCTCTGGGCAAAAAAAAAATGTTTCCTATGCAGTGGGGCTGTACCTGCATTACATGGGTTAACTGCTTGTTTTTCTCAGAGAGATAAGAGTGGGGATATACTTATCTGATCCTCCCAGCACAAGACCTGTCTGGCACCCCCGCATTCCAGCGATCTTTAATAGTGGGATGTTCCTGATGTCATTTCGCCCAGAGTAGGCTCCTTAGACCAGGAGCAGTCCACCGTTGGACTGTGGGGGAGGATTGTATTCCGAAGGATTGGGTGAATTATAAGCTTTCTGGTAACCTATATACAAAATGAGCAGTTGACCCGTGCAGTGCTGGCAAAGCCCCACTGAATGGATAAAAAATATGTTTGCCTGGAGATGGGTTTTAACATACCTTGTCTACAACCACATTCAATACTTTCCTCTTTTGACCTTGTTAGTACGGAAGAGGTCATCGAACCTTTCTCAGAAGCCCGTCTTACCACACCTGTCCTTTGGACTCTGTTCCCTCGTAACTACTATGGTCGCCCTTTTGCTTTATCCTTTGCTCCCTCACTCACCTCTTCAATCTTTCCCTCTCTACTGGCACTTTCCCCTTAACTCTAAATCTTGCACTGGCCACCCCCATACCTAAAAAACACTCACTGCATCCCACCAGCCTGAATGACTTAACACCCTTCCTCCCATTTACCTCTAAGTTTCTAGAACTCCTAGTCTACAACCGTCTGAGCTCCTGCCTCACTGACTACAACCTTCCTGACCCCTCACAATCTAGCTTTCATTCACAAGACTCCACAGAAACTGTCCAACTAAAACTCATCATTGATTTACTACAGTAACTAAACCAATTGCCGCTACTCCATACTCATATTACTAGACCGTTCTGCTGCCTTTGATACTGTTGAACACTCACTCCTAAAAAAAACTCCCATGGCCTCCAAGACTACGCTCTTTCCTGGTTCTCCTCCTACCTATCGCATCATTCCTTCGGTATTGCCTACACTTCTGTCTTCTTCTTTCCACTTCTTTTTTCTGTAGGTGTCCCCCAAGGTTTTGTCCTTGGACCCTCTCTCTTTATCTACACCTCCTCCCCCTTGGTCACCTGATAAATTCCCATGGCTTCCAATACCATCGCTATGCTGATGACACCCAAATCTATTTCTCCTCTCCCTTCCTCACCCCTTCCATCTTCTCTCCCCTTACTATCTTATTAACCAACCTATCATTATGGATGTTACACCACTTTCTCGAACTCAGCCTTTATAAAACTGAGCTCATTATTTTCCTCCACCCCCACATGTGCCCCATGCCCTGACTTATCCATCAAAATCAACAACACAAGTATCAGTCCCTCCCCTCATGTCAGGGTGCTAGGTGTAGTCCTGGACTCTGACCTGTCAGGATTACACCTAGCCCCTTTTTAACCAATGAAACCACCAAGAAACTCATTATTATTATTATTATTATTATACAGTATTTATAAAGCGCCAATAGTTCGCTCAGCGCTGTACATTATAAAGGGGGACAGAACATGTGACAGAACAATACCAATACAATGCAAAACATTAGGGGATTGAGGGCCCTGCTCTTTCAAGCTTACAATCTAGGAGGGAGGGGATGGTGGCACAGGAGGAGATAGCTGTGGGGGGATGGAGTGGTAGGAGAGTGGAGGAGGTCGGCAAGTTACCAGGGGGTGGGGTAGGCTTCCCTGAAGAGATGGGTTTTCAGGGTGCGCCTAAAGGAGAGGAGAGTAGGTGATAATCTGATGGGTTGGGGCAGGGACTTCCAGAGGATGGGTGACACCCTGGAGAAGTCCTGGAGGCGGGCATGGGAGGAGGAGACCAGGGAACTAGAGAGAAGGAGGTCTTGTGAGGAGCGGAGTGTGCGTGCTGGGCGGTACTTGGATATTAGGTCAGTGATGTAGTTCGGGGAAGTATGGTGGACAGCTTTGTATGTCAGCGTTAGGATTTTGAATTTGATCCATTGCGCAATCGGAAGCCAGTGGAGGGATTGGCAGAGGGGGGTGGCGGAGACAGAGCGGTTGGAAAGGTGAATGAGTCTGGCAGCCTGGATAACTCCCATGTTATCTCTCGCCTTGACTATTGCAACCCCCTTCTCATAGGACTACCTCTGCACAGGCTTTCCCTCCTTCAGTTCATCATAAATGTTGCTTGCCAGACTCCTCCACCTTACCAATTGCTCAGTGTCCACTACTGTTCTCTGGCAGTCTCACCACTGGCTTTCAGTAGCCCAATGACTAAAATTCAAAATGCTAGCTACAACATACAAAGCCACTTACAACTCTACCCAAAGCTACATCACCGATCTTGTCTCCATATATTAGCCAAACCATCCTCTCGGCTCCTCCCAAGACCTCCTTCTCTTTAGCTCCCTTGTCTCCTCTTCCCGTGCTCCTCTCCAGGACTTTTCCAGAGCCTTTCCCTTCCCAGTCTCCTACTATGGCCACTTTTAGACAATCCCTGAAAACTCATCTCTTCAGGGAAGCCTATTCTACCTTCAACTAAAAACTAATTATTTTGTTTCTCCCGTCAGCTCATCCCTCACAGTTATCTTTTGTTCCACTTTCCTTTCCCAATAGATTGTACGCTCTTAGGAGCAGGGCCCTTCTTACTCTTTTGTATTGAAATGTACTGTAACTATACTGGCTCACTTTATAATATAAAGTGATGTGCTAACTGTTGGCCCTATATAAATCCTGTATAATAATAAACAGAAACACCAAGTCTTCTGAAGCAAAACATGGAGTGGTGGGGAAGTACTGACTAGGGGAGTTTCTGTGGGTTGGAGGGCCCCTTTACACAGAGTCTGTCACTTTGCCCTGAATGGCTTTAAGGAGCTGCATAGACTAATGTAAATGTTTGTTAGACATTGGTGAATTATAGGAGCCTGTCATTGCAAACTGCCTTCTGAAAATACCAGTTGCCTGGTAATAGGGTCAGTATGACAGTCAGCCAACAACTTTTTTTTTTTTTTTTTTTCAAAAGGAGAGGTCAGCAATGGCAAGTTCCATTCTTCTCTCATGACAGGTTTCTTTTAAAGGGAATGCTTCAGAAAAATTAAGATCTTTTATTGTTCTGCAGACCATCAATGTTGTACATTTGACCCCCCTTTTCCCCACTTATAGCAGCAGGACCCCCTTCCTTTAGTGCTTTCACTATTTTGTTGTACAAATAGGTAGACTGCCCCATTTCATGTGCTTTAGAGTTAAAGTCTGGAACATATCCTTCATGTTCCACAACTGTCCCCATTGCAGTATATTTATAATTACATTTGATTAACATAAATGAGATTTATTGTTGTTGACGCTGCCAAGTGCCCGGACAGAGTTTAAAGTTCTGTTAGTTTGCAGCAGTGGGAAAATCTGGGGATATAGGGATACAGACATAAATACCAAGCTGGCAGGAGTTCTAACATCCCCCTGAAAAATAAAAAATAAAAAGACAGAATTTATCTCTTCCTGTGTTGTTTTTGGAGATCTTCTCTCACTTTCTGTCTGGTGAAAGTAAGTGGGAGGAAACTTTCACAGTTGGAGTCCTGGATAGCAAAAAAAAAAAGACTGGCAGGGGTTCTGTACCTTCTGTACTGTTTCCAAATGTTAGAAAAAATGTTTTTGCTAGTCATACACTGTAAATATTATTAACTGCATTTAGTATGACCTCATCTTTAAGGTGAAACAAGCTAAACCTGTAAATGTCAGGTTCTTATTACAACCAGGAAGGGCAAGTAGAACACATATCCATTTCTGTATTTTAGCCACAGTGTCTCACTTTACAGCATGTTGTGCTTGCAATAGGTGGTGAGTACCAGAGTGGGTGGGATTCCCGAGGTGCTGCCTGAGGATTTCATCATCCTGTGTGAGCCGTCAGTCAAATCTTTGTGCGATGGATTGGAGAAAGCCATAGATCAGCTGAGGACAGGAAAATTACCCTCGCCTGAAACCATCCACAACACTGTGAAGACTTTTTATACTTGGAGAGATGTAGCTGAGAGAACGGAGAAAGTAGGTTCACATTATTATTTTCTACAGTGCCTTGAAAAAGCATTCATACCCCTTGAAATTTTCCACATTTTGTCATGTTACAACCATAAACGGAAATGTATTTTATTGGGATTTTATGTGATAGACCAACACAAAGTGGCACATAATTGTGAAGTGGAAGGAAAATGATAAATGGTTTTCAACACTTTTTTTACAAATAAATATCGGAAAAGTGTGACGTGCATTTGTATTCAGCCACCTTTACTCTGATACCCCTAACTAAAATCTAGTGGAACCAATTGCCTTCAGACATTACCTAACTAGTAAATAGAGTCCACTTGTGTGTAACTTTATCTCAGTATAAATACAACTGTTCTGTGATGCCCTCAGAGGTTTGTTAGAGAACATTAGCGAACAAACAGCATCATAAAGCCAAGGAACACACCAGACAGGTCAGGAATAAAGTTGTGGAGAAGTTTAAAGCAGGGTAAGGTTATAAAAAAACTTCCCGGCACCATAGAGCTCGATTGGCATTTGCCATTGAATACCAGAATTGGCAGGTCCTCCACTGGTGCCCTGTGCTTTTCACAGATGAGAGCAAGTTCACCCTGAGCACATGTGACAGATGTGAAGAGGTCTGGAGAAGCTGTGGAGAGCACTATGCTGCCTGTAACATCGTTCAGCATGACCGTTTTGGTGGTGGGGCAGTGATGGTGTGGAGGGGCATATCCATGGAGGGATGCACAGACCTCTACATGCTAGACAATGGCACCCTGACTGCCATTAGGTATCGGGATGAAATCCTTGGACCTATTGTCAGACCTTACGCTGGTGCAGTGGGTCCTGGGTTCCTCCTGGTGCACAACAATGCCTGGCCTCGTGGCAAGAGTATACAGGCAGTTCCTAGGGGATGAAGGAATTGATACCATTGAATGGCCTCCACACTCACCCGACCTAAATCCAATAGAACACCTCTGGTATATCATGTTTCGATCCATCCGCCGCCACCAGGTTGCACCTCAGACTGTCCAGGAGCTCAGTGATGCCCTGATCCAGATCTGGGAGGAAATACCCCAGGACATCAGCCGTCGTCTCATTAGGAGCATGCCCAGACATTGCCAGGCATGTATACAAGCACGTGGGGGCCATACAAGCTACTGAGTACCATTTTGAGTTGCTGCAATGAAATTTCACCAAAATGGACTAGCCTGCTGCATCATTTTTTCACTTTTTTTTAGGGTGTCTGAATTCAGTCCTCTGTAGGTTGATAGTTTTTATTTCCATCAAACGATGGGGCATCCTTACGTTCCTAACACATTACCCAGTCCATATCAGTATAGATATCCAGCCTGAGATTTTTCCCCATCGAGATCTGATGTGTTTTCAAAGTGTTCCGTTTTTTTTGAGCAGTGTATATGCGAAAACCTGTCATTATTAAAAGGTATACTGTGAATAAGGCCTTATTAATTATTTTATCTTAATGAATGTTTTGATTGTGCCGTTTGATGCATTTTGCTATGCTTCAGGGCCTGTGGCGAAAGTGTGGTTTTTGAAATCTATTTGAGAAGCTTCTGAGATTATTATTCAGATCACTTTGATGGGTGCATTTGACCTGCACATTTTCATTTGTGTAGATTTCTATAGGGAGAGAGGTGGTTTTCACGCAGACAAAGGCCTATCAACCAAACCTTTGCTGTGTTTTGGCAGTTTTTTTATGTGCATTAAAGTGAATATTAAAAAAGCAAAATGTATTGATCGTGCACAGGAAAATGAGAAGTGAAAATTTTAAAACTGTAAAAATGTAAAAACTGTCACTTGTGCTGGTTTATAAAGGTAACCACTTTGGCAGGTTAAGGTAACAACGTAACCAATACTAAACTACTATTTTCACAGAATTAATGGCGATTATAACATTTCAATAAAGCCACATAAACTTTGTGTACGTAACAAAAACTGAATGACTGACTGAAATGTAAAATACTTTATTTGCACAATGTATTTGTACGTGTAATGTAATTCCTGTTGCTTTTGTGCTTCCTCAGGGCCCATTCACACTAGTGTGGTGATTGGCATTTTTCTGCACTGGAAAATGCCGGTTACCGCTAGGTCACATAGAAAACAGTTGTTTTCTGTGCACCCCGTTCTAACTGCAAAGCAGCCTGGAGGTGCTATGCAATGGGGTGCGATAAAATGCAAACATGCCACACAGAAGCGCAGTGCACCAGGTTGCTGTGCTTGACATGAATGAAGTGTTACTTTGAGTTGTTCAAATATATTTCTCGTTACCAAAAAAAAAGGAAGCTGATGCAATACATTGCGCATCACACCACCCTTGTGATCAAGATGACACACTCTGCATCTTTAACAAATAACTATTCTGTTTAATTGCTGCTTTTGAGGGTTTTTTTTATGTGCTTACATAGGTATCACATTATTATTACTACTGTAAGCAATGCATAGGATAGTATGGCAAGGATGTTGGTTGCAGTGGACAAAGCATACAAAATGAAATACATGTGCCTATAGATTTTAATATATCTTTCACAATAGGCATAATATAATATATACCTACAATTGAAACTTCAGATATACACAAACTATAAAATAACCCCCTTTACTACTAGCAATACTAGGATCACTTTCTACATGCATATCTTGAAAACCTTATACCAAGAATCCAACGTGTCACATTGTAATTTATTAGTATCGTGTGTATACTGTATATTCCAAATATTGTAAACAACTCTAAGTATCTTAAATCTACTGTTTATCGAGAATTCTGTTCCACTCAAACAGACAATTACAATTTGAATTATGTTTTAATTTAAACATTACAAAAATGATTTTAAAAAATGGTAAAAGTATATGTCTACCTGGTATATTTAAAAAAAGTAGTCCTTTTATTCATCAAACATTTGTGATAAATCCAAAGAACTACTTTTTAAAATATATACCAGGTAGATGCATACATGATTTTCTATTTTTTTTTTTTTTTATGATAATTAGGAATCTATTCATATAGACATAAAAAATACTGAAAGGTGCAGTTTAAGGCCCCATGTACACGGGACACTTCTGAACGATGGAAAACTTAGATTAAAAAATGTCTGTTTAGCTGCTTTTGCATACCACGTTTATGCGTGTTTGCGTTTAGAAGCGTTTTTTAAGATAACCTCAGGAGACCTTCCAAAATGCTCAGAATGCACTGAAAACCAGTAAGATTAACTATTTCAGACATTTTGAGAGAAAAAGAGAGAGCAGAAGCAGAGAGAGCAGTATTTGTTGAGATAAGCTGTCTTTTTTTTTTTTTTTGTGGTGTTTAGATGTGTTCCAGCTCATTTCGGTGCAGAAATTATTGCAGCAGTGTCTAACATATTTTTTTCATGCAAAACCTCAAAGTATGGTGTGCCAGGTCCATTTGAGTACCGGGAAAACACTTTGCATGCCTTTTTCATGATGAAAAAGGCTCTGGACAGCATCTGGAAATGGAAGAGTTAAAAAAAATTTCAAACGCCTATAAACGCGGTTAGCCACGTTTACAAGCGTTTTGGAATTGAAACGCTGTTAAAATCTGCTGAACGCAAGTTTTCTGTGTTCAAAAAAACAACTGTAAACTCAAATGCCTGTAAACGACTGTAAACAATGATGTGTACATAGACACATAGGAAAACATTAGGGTGAGTTCAGGGGCTGCTGAAAAAAACGCAGAAAAGCTCCTAAACGTGAGTTTATCAGCTGCAGTGTACATGAGCCCTAACATTGAAATCACTTGAGTGTGATGGGGACTTAGTGCTAAAAGTCATTCAGTTTGGTGTAATTCTTTGGCAACAATCCAAAGTAATTAAATAATTTTTAGAAAACGTTTTAAGCTCTTGCACGACTAATTAAAATGATGCCTATACATCACTTAACGTAAGGAACCCCCATGTTCTTGTAGAGTTTACAGTATTACCCTGACAGAAAAAGTAACCACAGATATCTCAATTTTATTTCTCTTTCTTAGGTATATGATCGAGTCGCTAATGAAACTGTCTTGCCAATGAATGAGAGACTTGAGCGTCTTGTAAGTCACTGTGGCGTGGTGACGGGGAGCATCTTTGCCCTTTTTGTGTGGTAGCGAGTTTTTTAATACTAATGTTGCTGCGATGGAATAGCCCAGACTCCTTGATTGACATTGCGGTTGATGCCACAGGGCCAGAAGGAGCCTGGTCACATCAATACAGTTCTAAAAGATCACAAAAAAAGATGACCAATGCAAATTGTGAAAACGCACTGAAATGATTTTAGCTTTTATTCCTCAGACTGTAACTTTTCAAGTATTTTCAGCAAATCTTGCTGCCTACAAACGAACAAGGTGTTTTCTCAAGCGGTGAATTCCTCTTCCTGTATTCTACTTCATACAGTCCTCTGTGGTTTAGTAACCCACATCTCCTCTTTCTCCTGAATGTCTCTACATGTGGGTTCTCAGCCTTCTTTTGCACTTCTACATGCTGCCTATAATTACAGTCCGTTTTGTGTGTCATAGTCCTAATTGTAGTTCTAATTGTTGAAAGTCTGAAGCTCTAATGCCTCAGGACTGGAAGAAACCTCTGCGATAGGATGTGTTGCAGTGACAAGTACATTGTTACATGCGTCAGCACCTTTCAGTGCCATTCATTTCACAAAGCATGGTGGCACGCTACTGTGCACTGCATCCACTACATCAGGAAAGATGTTGCGTGTCTTTTTTTTGGCCGTTCCATTCTGTGTGTATAGGCTGCCTAAACGCAACACGTTAACACAAGGCATGCTGACGCAGCACACAAGATCAACAAAATGTAAATTGGCCTAAAGAACAAATAGCACATCTCTGATTTTTATTTTAATAATCTGTATTAATTGTATATTGTCATTGATTCCCTACTTTTTAGCAAAAACATAGCATATATTTTTAATGTTTAAAAAAAAATGGTGGCACTTGAAAAAATGTGCAAATGTCATTGTTTTCAGTAAGAATATTTGGCACAGAACAGGGCACCAACTCCATGTTTACAGGGACTGGGAATTGTGGGAAAATAGTTGTAGCAGGGTTACTATGGCTGTTGCCATTAGATGCTTATTTTACAGCTTTGCCTGAAAGTAAGATGCTTAAAGTGACACATTTGCCAAATAAGTGCAAAATGGCTCCCCTGAAAAAGAGAAGTAACACATTTCTGGTGGACAGTGAGTCCTATCTTTGCTCTTAACAACTATAGCTGGAGAACTGTCAGCATTCGACACACTTCTGGCTATATCAGATGCCTAGCCTGTGGTCCTTTTTATTTTAACCCCCTGACTGCTGCATCGCTACCATCTCCTGTAGTGAAGTTGGGCTGATGGATAGAACTGCACCTGCCAGCCCCCTTAAAGAGAATAGAAAGATAGTAGTCAGTGCTGGCCGGAGAGGTACAAATTGGGTCTTTCGTATTTTTTGTTGATGACTAGGAGTTTCAGCCTAGGGGAGGTTGATTTTCTAAAGGCAAATAGACTGTTCATTTTGCAAGGGAATTTTCCCTTAGCTTAGTGAAGGAAATAAAACTGCTGACTTCCATCATCCAATCATGTGCAAGCAAAAATACTGTTTTATTTTTAATTTTCCCTTGCCTGTGATTGGGCTTCCTTTTTGTCTGCATTCACCATAAGAGGCATGGAGGAGCTCAGCTATGAGGAAAGATTAGAGGAACTGAATTTATTCTCTCTTGAGAAGAGGAGATTAAGGGGGGGATATGATCTCCATGTGTACTACATGAGGGGGGATATGATCAACATGTATAATACATAAGGGGGGATATGATCTCCATGTATAATACATACGGGGGGATATGATCAACATGTTTAAATACATCAGTGGTTCATATAGTGAACTTTGTGATGATCTCAGGGTGAATAACTCTACACAGAGGACAAGGGGGCACTCTTTATGTCTGGAGGAAAATAAATTTAATCTCCAAATACGGAAAGGTTTCTTCACAGTGAGAGCTGTGCAAATGTGGAATAGACTCCCTCAAGAGTTAGTTCTGGCCAGCTCAGTGGATTGCTTTAAAAAAAGGCCTGGATTCTTTCTTAGTTACACAGAATATAACTGGATACTGACATTTATAGGTAAAGTTGATCCAGGGAATATCCGATTGCCTCTTGGGGATCAGAAAGGAAGTTTTTCCCTGCAGGAGCAAATTGGATCATGCTTTGCTAGGTTTTTTTGCCTTCCTTTGGATCAACTGTGGGTATAGGATTATAACTTTTTTTTTTTTGGTTGAACTGGATGGACTTTTGTCTATATAAGACAAAAATTCTAATTCACTTGCAGGGTGCAACTTTCCTAGCAAACTGAACAGTATATTTGCCTTTAACAAATCTACCCCAGAGTGTCCAGTCTAGTAGCTCTGCATTTTACATCATTGTCATTTTGCAGCTGTATATTCACAGATAGGGAAGCAGTCCATCTTTCATCCTCCCTTTAGTGGTGGCCCTGTCATGCCAGAGACCCCATGTCTGAATCTTCTACTTATCAGAAAAACAGATACACTTTGCAGCTGACTTTTTTAATAGGCTGCAGGGACACATAAAAATAGGTGAGGTTAGTGCTGAAAATGCACTCGTACCTTAATATTTATGAGTTTAGAAGAGCAGGGTGGTAAGGATTGTTCACCTATAGATGCCCTTCAAACTCCAGTTCACAGAAAAAACTTTCATTGTCCTAGATCCACTGAGAATGCGTGTTAGTCTGTATTCATTGTGTATGTCTGTGTTTCACTGAAAATGGTTTACACTCCTTTTAATAGACTTATGGGCATTGGTTGGTTTGCTGCACTTTATCTCCCATAAATTAAAGAAAATCTTTGCATCTTTGTCTAAATGAGTAAATCTGCTTCACAAAGTGCAAAGGAGAGGGTTCTTAAAAGTAATTCACCTACATACAGCTTACTCAGAAGATGTATACTGAAGTTTATATGTATATTGGAAAAAAAAAAACTTGCCGCAAAGTAAAAATAGTTTTAAAGTCCAAAAAAAGCCCCAGGAATAGATATATAGTCTTCTAGAAATAGTACTAATAACCTCACATTTCATAGTCTCATCTCCACTTTCCTGTAACAGCAGTTGTGCAGTGTGCCAAAATATAACTTTGCAGTCCAAAAAGCATCAGTTAGACCCTATCGCACTCTGTGATCAGCTCTCAGTAACAGAGGTCGCCTGACCCCCCCTCTTTCTTTCTGTGCTAAGGGGCATGTGTGCCAGCACTGTAGAGGAGGGTAGGAAACAGCATTTGTACTGAGATAATGTGGTATTTTAAGGGCTTGCCTTTAAGAAAGTAATAAATGCACATAATTGCAGGAAAAAATTTACAGTTATTTTTTCCACAGTAGCCTGCAGTGTCAGACTCCTGCAGACCCCTTCCCATCTCTGCCCTTACCCCAGTACACACTTTCATTTAGAAATCTGGAGAAAGTCTTAATAGACTTCTCGTGTGTGTGGTTTACGGTACTAGTAGTCCAATGAGAATGACACGTCTGTCTGCCACGGTGGCATATAAGACTTGTAGTTTATTCATTCACAGATCTCTGTACTTGCGGCGCTGAATTTAAACATGACAGTGGCTGCAGGGAGAACTACTCCCATACACTGTCAAGCAGGGGAGTAATCTAGGGGGGTGGGAAGCGTGTGCTTAGGAACATGATACATGTAAGATACTAAATACAAGTGTACCATGTTCCTAAAGGTGTACTTTGCCTTTAAAACATTTCCAGGCAAAGTCACAAGTTATAACATGCAGGGGCACGGAACTACAGGTTGAGATAAAAAGATGTGAAACTTCAACTGGTCTTTAAATTAAATTTCCCTGAACCAGATGCACAAGGAAAATCCATGAACCTAAATTGCAAAAGGTGCAAACAAAACCAGAGCAATTATCATTTGTTTCACTTGTTGTGCCAATTTGGTAGTAGTAAACAGCTAAATTTCCAGTTTAACCTCTTGGCGCCAACTGAACGTATATGTGTGGCCTCCTGGCGTCTGGACCTAGATGCCGAGTGGCCGCACATTTGCATTCTATTAAAAAAAGTATGTGTTGAGAGCGCGCTCTCCCAGCACACACGTTCGGTCCCACACGGAAAGGTCCCGATATCCTCTTGCGATTGGTACCTTTCCCAATCGTGTGACAGCGAATCACGGTGGTCACACGACCCTAAAACCTGACTCCCAGCTTCTGGAACCCTTAAAGGGCCCAGAGGCGCCGGTGCCAAGGGGTTAAATCAATATAAGGCATTTTGCCTGCCAAAGGATTTTTATTTCTGTCCATCGAATCCTGATATTTACACAACCCCATCACACAGCACAACCAGGTGGAAGACACCACTTAAGCCTGCCGTACATGGCTTGAATTTTGGCCAATTGCTGATAAATTGGCCATAATTTAAGCTGTGGGTGCACAGGTGGGAAATCGTCAGCCAAACAGAGACTGCATCCATTCAGATCAGATGCCATCACTGTTTGGATATTCTGACAGCCTCATGTGCTGGCTGTTGGAATACAATAGCTAGCAAGGGATATTTCTCCTGGGGGTGATTGCTGTTTAGCCTGGGTGGGGGTATCTATTCAGTCTCTTTTGTTCAGCCTGTGGGAGAAATCTATAGGTAGCCTTACAGTTAAGGAATACAGTGATGTCCTCTCTCCTCCACCAGCCTGCTGATTGCCAGTGAAAGTATAACTTATCCCTGCTCACCCTGCTCTCTCCCTCTCTTATCATTATGTTTCTTAACACATTTGAATGCAGCAGACCCTGTCCTGCCCCTCATTCGCCTAGTAGAGAACAATTTTGTAGCAAAGCTTAGTTTTTTACTGATGCCAGTGATGTAATCGCTAAAGTCGCAGGTGATTTGGCGCTATTAAATTATTTGTCGCTGATACAAGATAAACCAATGTTACAGCATTGGGTTGGTGTGATCTGCTTGAAAATCTTTCTCCTTCATCAGTTTGTAGCCATAGAGGTGAATGTAAAGAGATTGTCACTGATGATCTAGA